GGGGAAGACTGGGGGAAGCACCTCAAATAATGCCCGTGGTGGAGGGGATGGCGGGGTAGGTACACTCCAGTCCGCTCCCCAGTCGCCATCAAACTAATGATCCAAACTGGGAAATGAAAGCCCTCGCTTGCTTGAGGATCATGTGCCCAGAATAGCAGTTCGAGGGATTGAATTTTATCTCAGTTCAATCGCTCTACTCTGATTGATCTGATACCCAAATACCAAACTCTTGAGGAACTAAACAATCGACGATGCAGACGGAGGCAGGCAGGCAGGCAGCAAGGTACACTACATGGCACTACAGTATGTACATACCCTAGCAAATGTACCTTTTGGGGTTCCAGTGCAGACAAAACCAGACCAGACCTAAGCATGGGCCAAGTGACCTGACGTAATTGAGCCAAGTAAGCTCAGCGCTAGCAAAGTCCAGAGTGCGACAAACCAAGGAAGCTTCTTTTTCCATTTCAATTGCGCCAGCTGTACACGTGTAGATGATGCCTGGATGCTCGTTTGTGTAACGCTGGTCAGGGGGGGTCTAGGTGACGGGGGATATTATCAGCTCGTAACGTGAGAACTACTAGTGTAGCTGGTGGGGATTAAGTGCCTTCTGGGAATAGAATTAGAAAGAAAGTTTATCAGGTGTCAAAAGAGAAGACAAAAGACACCGAAGATGGACCGATGACAAAAGCGATCGATCCCCTTTTCCACGCAGACTATTCGCTTTCTGGTGGCGGTGATGGAAACTGGCAACTCAGCTACCTGAGACCTAGTCAAAACCCCCAAAACTGAGTGTTGACAGCGTACAGATTTTGGTGAAAAGGTATCGCAAAGATCACATGTAGTGTAGAGCTGGAACACTCGTGTCTCTGGTAGATGTTGCATATCAAGGATGTCAAAGTGCACATACATACACTCACCGCCACCCCCGGGCAAGGCCGGCAAGCAGAACATCAAAACATCAGACCAAAAGAATTGAGCCTCCAATTGCCCTCCCCATCCCTCCATGTGCCCCCGGATCTCGCGAATCGAGCATCGTGATCGAACAATCTAGCGACTCAGTCGGGGGGTCACCGCCCAAGTCACCGCCTTCAACGCCCAGACATCAATTCTATTGTACAGTATCCCCAATCCCTTTGACTCTCTCGGAGAATTCCGACCCGGTCGCCGCGTCCGAGAGTCACTCACGTTTCAGAACTCTTCTTCACCGACCTTGACGCCGTCCGTTTCCAATGATCTTCAATCTTTTCTAGAAAAAAAAACACAGACACACAGACACACACTCTAAAACCCCGCCAAAACCCAAATCGCACGTGCAACCCCGGGTTACATACGATAACCATCCCCGAGATCTCCAGACTTTCTCCGCGAATATCATTCCATGTCCGGGGCCGCGACCGGACCATAGGCTTGTGTGCCCATAGCGCAATCATCTACGGGTTAGGGTTGGCATCCCCCAGTCAAGATGATTGCCGCGCTTATCACCGACTTGCCGCAAAATGCTTGCCGTCAATCTTCAATCCAATCTCCAAACGAGAAACACGGCGGACAACCAACATTGACGATGCGATACAAGCGGCCCGACATGCGTGAGAAACAACATGAATATCAGGCTGAAGTATCTCAATCGTACACAGCGCTGAAGCGGAATCGTGTACAAGTGAGTACTGAATAACGCCGACCAATGAGGAGCCCATTGCTCCCAGAATGGATGAGCGGTTGGTTCTCGCTTCCTCCCGTCGTCTGGTGTTATTGATGTCGTTATCTTGAGTTATCGATGGAGATAGCCGATCGTGTCGTTGTCCGCCATTACTGTATTGGCCTGGTCCGGCATCCAGCTCACTGGGCTGGTATGATACAGCACTAACATATTCACGTAGTAATTCCGTGCTAATACGTTATGATCGCAACACCAAACCATCAAGGTCCCCTTTCTCTCGAGCTGGAGTATGAACCTCGACAGTCGAGACCTTTCTCATCCATCATCACCCCCCACGGTCACATCCTTTGCGATGCAGTCAAGCGCGCGCCCAGTTAAACTAACAAAAAGAGGGCGATTGCATCCGATGTTTTAGTTCTCTACAAACTCAGCGATTGCCTCGAACAACATTCTATACAGCGACTGGAGATACGAAGGAAAGTCGTGCTTCCATTCCCATAGATCTAGATCTACATCTAGGTACATATCTAAGTATATATCAAATATACTCTTAACCTTCGGCTCCCAGGCCTCGAATCACCATCCATCTAACCTAACCCTATGTATTGTACACCACAAATAAACAATCTTGAGAGTCATCCTTTCACAACGCCGGCACCGGCACCGGCACCGGCTCGAGTCTCAACAGCCACCCGCAAGTCTGTCCACATCCACTTGGCACTTTCTTTGTTTCAAGTTGCAACGGCTTACGAAACTCGTACAAGACTCAAAGTTTCAACTTCCTCGAGGGACCCTCAAGAAACAACTACGTCCACTGGTAGACTCCGGCCACAGTCCGTCCCGGGTCCTTGGTACCACCGACTGTCGCAATCGTCGCAATCAACTTACCGACGGTAAAC